CTCACGAGCACCTGTTTCTTCTGCATCTCCGTGGAGCCGAACGACAGAGAGATCGTCACCTGGCGGGGCCAGGGGGCGTCGCAGTCGGAAGTCGAGGCGAAGAGATCGAGTGCCGAGGTCTTCGTAGACGCTGTTCTGCAATTGGGGGCCTCCGGGAGCGCCCTCGTCGAGGAGCTGAGTCCGCCTGGAAATTCTGCTCGGAACGCGACCCTGGACAGGACGGGGGGTCATCGCCGTCGTCGACGCCGCCGTCGCCGCCGTCCAGGGCTACTTATCCTCGTCCTCCTCCTCCTCCTCCTGCTGCCCCTGCTACTGCTGCTGCTCCTGCTACTCGAGCATAGCCATCGGAGGGTGGACGAGCAGGAGAGGAGGAGGAGGAGGAGGAGGAGGAGGAGGAGGAGGAGGAGGAGGAGGAGAAGGAGGACATAGGATAAGGGCCGAGGAGGAGGAGGAGGAGGAGGAGGACGGAGGGGGAGGACGGAGGAGGAGGAGGAGAATGAAGGAGGACCAGAATAAGCCCAGGACGAATAAACAGTGCTGCAATAGACCTCCCGTCCACGTCCCATCCTCATCAGTCTCTGCAAACATTCCTTCTCACTAAAAAAAGCGCCCCGCTGAAAGACGAACACTATGTGGACCTGCCAGTCAGGCGAGAGCCCCGTATTTGAAAAAAAAATGGTTATATCCCTGTAGCGAATGTTAAGAAGAAGACGAGTCTGCAACATGTCCAACAAGACGGCCGTCTCGAAAAAGAACAGCCCCAAACCGTGCCACCTGTCCGTGCTTTCCACTTCTGGCCATACACGTGAGGGAGGCTTGAGCAAGAGGTCCATGTTGAAAAAGAGCCGCCTTCCATCAGTGCTGCCATTCCATGTTTCTGCGCGCGGCGCCGGGGCGGCAACTCCACTTTTGAACACGTGCCACCCTCGATCCGTGTAGCTGCTAAAGACGGATGCGCGCGGCACTGGGGCGAGAGATTCACTTCGGAAGAGTACCGCCCTTCATCCTTGTAGCCGTTGCAATGTTTGGGACAAGTGAGCGCGTCGCCACGGCGAGAGCCCCAGTTTGACAAGGTGCGACCCTCCGTACTGTGAGCCGCTGGGCATTGCAAGCTTCAGGATCAAGCGTGGTGAAGACATCTAAGGCGAAACGCACGGGCCAGCCTTTCGACACGCCGAGCGGTGCGGCAGGAAGGAGTGTTACATATAAGAAAAAGATATGGCTCAGGAGGGAGGGAGGATTATGTGGAGAGAAAGAGGACGAGAAGGGCAGAGGAGGAATCGAAGATCGAGGCCAGAGATGTTTGGATGTTTCTCGGATTGCTTGAGCCTTCCGAGTCGCCACCGATGGATTCCCACCGAAACTCCAGGACAGAAACGATCCGGGGAAGGATTCTGAGGAGGGATGGCCCAGACCTCCGAAGGATTGGTCCTTCCAGGGGAACGAATGCCGCTGGGGCTCGCGGACTGCCAACATTTATCCGTCGGAAATCCGAGGGAAGAGGGGAAGTGGAGGGCGCCCCCCCCGAAGTAGAGGCCCTGAAATCGCAGGATGCCACCAGCCTGAGACGTCGGTGAACGCTGGGGAAATCGAAAACCCCCAGGCCGAGGTCTTCCGAGCGCCCAGACTCTCGCCTGAATCCCAAGGGCCCGCGCCAGAAGCCTTACCCGTCCTCTGCCGCGCACCAAACCTAACCGAGGTGGGGATCGTAAGCGCGCCTCGTCTCCGTCGTCTGAAGGTCCCCTAATTGGGATCCGAGTACATGGTGTCGAAGAATGGCGCCGAATCGCCGACGCATCGGCGATGCGTCGGCAACGTGCGGATGTAAGAAATCGAGCTCCCAATCGAAAGGCATCGCCGACGCATCGGCGATGTGGCGCGATCCTCTGGCTCGTCGTCGTCGTCGTCGTCGCCGTCGTACTGGTCGCCGCCGTCGTCGTCGTCGTCGTCGTCGTCGCCGTCGTCGTCGTCGTCGTCGTCGTCGTCGTCGTCGTCAACGTCGTCGTCGTCGTGGCGTGCGTTGCTCTGCTCGGGGCTTCGCTTCCCCCAAGCAGCCGCCCCTCGGCTCGGCCAGAGCCCCCCCGACGGAGCTGGAGGGCCCGCCCGCAGCCCTGGGTTGTGGCGCGCCCGCCGCCTGGGAGGCGCGACGGCTGGTCCAGCAACGCTACAAGAAGAATAATATGAAGAAGAACAAATCAGAATAACAATAATAATAATAAGATGGGTCATGAGAATAAGAAGAATAAGAGGAATCATAATAGGGATATGATTCAGAAGACGATGCTCAAGAATAATACGCTTAAGAAGAAGAAAAAGACAAAGACGAAGAAGAAGAAGAGTAAGACGGATAATATGATATTATGACGATGCAGAAGATGAAGAAACGAAGAAACGGCATTACACGTAAGCTTCTGGAGGCTCTCGCGGATTTGTTGGACCGGCGCTGGCCGAGGCTGGCACCCCCCGTCCCCGGCGCGCGGAGCGGAGCGCGCCAGGGACCGCGCTGGAGGCGGGGGGGGGGCTTCACGATCCACCAAATACACCGAGGCGAACAATATGTTCTTCGGACGTTTGCGAGTAGGCACTTCGCGAGTAGTGGGACGCGCCCGGTGTGTGTGTGTGTGTGTGTGTGTATGTGTGTGTGTGTGTGTGTGTGTGTGTCGTTCTCCTTCTTCGAGGACGGTCCTGGGGAAACATGAACATGGAACACACAAGAACTCGAGGGTCCAGCATACAGTAGGTCCGCGCGGACCCTCGAGTTCTTGTGTTTATACCATTGCTTTAGAAGAAGAAATAAATGCATAAATATAACCTTTCGACGGTCCGCGCGGATTTCTTGGATCTGCGCTGGACCCCCCTCCCTGGCGTACGGAGCGCGCCAGTGGCGGCGCCAGAGGCGCCGCCAGGGGGGCCCAGCGCCGACCCGAGAAATCCGCGCGCAGCTCCGAAAATTCATGTTTTTATCGTTTTTCCTTCTTCGCCGCTTGCCTCCCAAGATCCCGGAGCACCCCGCGCACAAAACTTCGTCGAGCCCACCACGGCGGTGCGGGGCTCCGCGCTGCCGGCGGCGAGCAGCGGCGGCGCGCCTCCTCCACCTCAGGGACTCCCGCCCGCGGAAAACTGCGCTGCTCTGCTCAGGACCTGTTTCCCTACAGCCATCCTGCTACAGAAGGAGCTCGACCACAAGAAGCCTTCCACAAGAAACCCAACCCTGAGACCGCAGGACGTCCATGGATTTTTGGTGTGGGAGCGTCACGCTTTCCACGGCCAAGCCATCGCAACCCGAGAAACCCAGGGAACCCTGGAGGCAATCAGGGTGCTTCCTGGCATGGGTTTCCACTGCACCACAAGGAACGCAGAATCAGGAACGAAGGGGCAGGCCGCTGCGAGCCTCGGGTTCGACAGAGGTTACCCTGGAGCGGCCCGAAGACCAGAGAGCCCCTCCCGAGCCCAGCGTGGTCCTCATATTTCGGCGTCTTGACTTTGGGGCCGCCTTGCTCCTGCATGCGACGCGGTGCAGGACGTGCCGAGCGGACGCCTCGCGCCCGGCCGCGATGAAGGCCGTCCACGAAGCAGGGGGGCGGCAAGTGGAGCACGACGCCTGCAGTCCTCCTCCTCCTCCTCCTCCTCCTCCTCCTCCTCCTCCTCCTCCTCCTTCTTTCCCTCCATCCTACGCAGCGATGGCGGCGGCCAAGGCGACGACGGCGGGAACAACGACGGCATCTGGGGAGGGTCACGCAAAGAGGGATGCCCTCGGGAATCGCGGCCACCGCCAGCGTCACGGAGACCAGGATCATGTACAGCCAGGTGGGCTTATCCTCGTCCTCGGGATCCTTCGGGGGGGAGGGGGATCGAGGATCGAGGTCCTGCATCCCTCCGACAAAATGATAAAGAAAAACAGCTATTTTTCGCAGTGCCGATGCCACCAGACCCCAAATCCCACCAGCCTTCTGGGCGAAGGTGGTATAACGAGTTATTGGTTCCCCTCTTTCCAAACCCATCCTTTCCCCGCTCGGGGGGGGGTCCCCCTCCCGCTTCCCCCGATCCTGGGCCTGGACGGGGAGGGGGGGGGGGGGCGAGGCGCTAGAGCGTCCAAGATAACCCAAGACGGCTTCAAGAGGGCCCCAGCTGCTGCAGGATCGTCTCAAAGATGGTCTCAGCTACCTCAAGATGGCTTAAGATAGCCTCCGACGTACCTCCAAGAGGTCCCAAGGTCGCAGCCCACCATAGGCCCGTGTCGAACGCACCATCGGCAGGGACGACGCGATTGTTGTACCACCCCCTGGATTTAAAAGGTGTCGATCGGCACTATTCGAGGGAGCAACTCCTGGGTCTTCGCCAATCGATAAAACCTCGAGCTTCGACGACCTTCGATCGATCCCAAGATGAGTCCCAAACAAGCTCGTGACCCGAACGGAGGAACGGCGCCGCAGGGGTGGACGGTACGCGTGGTTGTTAGGACAGCCCAAACGAAATCGGTACTCTCTGGCGGCGTGAAAATCGGCCCGATGAGGAGTTCTCAGGCGACATCGTCACTCTCAAGCGGCATGAAGATCGATCTGAATGTTTGTTCTGAGGAAGTCCCATGCGAAATCGCTATGTCCAGATGCCAGGACAAATGTTCGGATCGCCCTGGAAAGCGATCTGAAAGTTTGTTTGAGGAAGTCTCGGGCGGAATCGCACTTTCAGACGCTGACCCCATTTGGTCGATATAATATGAAAAGGAGAGGCATGCATCTGAAATTCCCAAATCGGCCCCAACTCCAACATTGTCCCAAAGCCCCGCGGCCTAACGGGAGGCCAACCGTGTCTTTCTTGATCCTCACGGTCTCCACTTTCTAGTCAAGCGGGTTGTAGTATTGTAGCTGCTGTGGTTCTGGGATGTGAATCTCCTAGTCGTTCCTGTAAGGTGATGCGTGATCGGTCCGTGCATGCATGTGGACCGTGTCATATTCTTACTGGTCGTGAAAGATCGGTGTGCTGAATGCTGTGCGCGAAGCTGTGGCTGTAAAGTTGCATTGGTGGAATATTAGAGCTCTTCTTTTGAAGATTGTTAACCATCCGTCCTTGCAGTATCTGCCGGACCATTATGATGCAATAAGTATGGTATCGTCTTTGCGGGATAGAGTCCACCATAAGCTGGATGCGTTTCGGTAGCACCTGAATTGGGAAAGTTATGAGACGCTTCGAGAAGTGTGATGATTTCCTGTGGGGGGGGAGCCTGTGGTTGCTGCTCCGTAGCGCACTTTGGCTTGGATGCATGTGGTCCTCCTCCTCCTCCTCCTCCTCACCCGCCCTCCCTCCCTCCCTCCTTCTCCTCCTCCTCCTCCGCCTCCTTATTGTGGGATCTATGAGTATGGGCTCGCGAAATGTGTCGGCCTCCACCTGTGCAGCGACGGCGCTGGCGAGCGGCGCCTTTGGACGGGCGGCCACCACTGCAGCACGATTCGCCACTGGTTGGACAGATGACGGAGCGATCATCGTTGATTCGGACTTGCGCGATGCGCTGGACGAAATGACATGCGGGACGCAGGGGTTGCCGCCACTGCGACCCAACGATGCCTTGCTGAGCACCCCCCTCACTGAATGTCCGCAACCATGATTTTCTCGTGAGCTAGCATTCGTTGTGCGGATAACTCTCAATTGCTGCGTGAAGCTGCCGATCCGGCGTGTGATGTTCAAGAATCCTGAGCAGCAGCATGCAGCCTGAGCTTCAGCTCTGCTGGGGGGGGGCCGGGGTGGCTTTGCTGGGGAAGGGGGGGGACCCCCTGCTCAGCCTGTTTTCCGCTTTGCTCCGCTTTGCTGCGTTTTCTTGGGGGGGCCTCGGACACGTCAAAATGTACAACTGAGGACTTCTTAGGCAATACACAATCGCTTAAGGATCGCGCCCACGCCCAAGATAGCCTCCAGTCGACCGCAAAAGAGCACCCTAGACGTCCCAAGGGGGATCCAAGAGCACCGAACCAAGAGTGCGCCAAGAGGCAAAGGCAAACAATTCCTTCTGGGCTAATATACATTTTTCGCATGTCCGACTTCTCGGCCTTCATGACGTCCAAGACGCCCCCCAAAGTTGCCAAGACGATCCCAGGGACCCCCGAATACCGCCCCAAGACGCCCCAAGCGCCCAATAGGCGCCAACAATGGCCCAAGAAAGCCCCAAGACCAAGACAGCGCCGAGAGAGGCCACAGAGGGAAACCCGAACCAATAATCGCACCAGCCCTCTGGGCGTCGGTGGTTTAGGGAGGTTCCTCTTCCACCCTTCCTTCTTCCTCTTCGGTGAGGGGTTTATCACTGTTCCCTATGAATATACACCCCCTCCCCCAGGCGACTGGGAGCCAACCAGGGTCAATGCGGGCACCCCCCCACCATCCCTTGTAAAAAACAACACTGTCTCCAAATCCAGAGCACGCGCAGCGAACCCGATGCGGCCTCCCCCCACCATCCCTGTCAAGAAACATTACATAATACACTTGGCGGCGGCGGCAGCTGCGGCGGCTGCGGCGGGGGGCAGCGGCTGCGGCGGCTGCGGCGGTGGCGGCGGCAATGGCGGCGGCGGCGGGGGCGGCGGCGACGGCGGCGGCGGCGGTGGCGACGGCGGCGACGGCGGCAGCGGCGGCGGCGGCAGCGGCTGCGGCAGCGGTTGCGGCGGCGGCGATTCGGCAGCGGGGGCAGCGGCGGCGGCGGCAATTCGGCCGCGGGGGCGCGGCGGGCGGCGGCGGCAGCGGCAGCGGTGGCGGCGGCGGCGGCGGCGGCGTGCAGCGGCGGCGGCGGCGGCGGCGGCGCGGGGGTGGCGGCGGGCGGCGGAAGCGGCGGAAGCGGCGGAAGCGGCGGAGGCGGATTCGTCCCCAGTAGCTGCCCATCCAAAGACGAATGCTGCATATGCTGCGGCTCGGGCCAGGCTCGGGTGCTACTTATGTGTTGGGAAGGCGGGTGGGAGTGAGCGAGACGGCTTGCGGGCGGAGAGGGTCTTGACCCCTCCCCCGACCCCCTCCCCTGGACCTGGACAGAGGGTATCGCGAGTCGTCGGAGCGTCCAAAACGGCCTCGGCGAGGAAGCCAAAATCATCCCCATTTTGGCCTCCTGGGGGGGGACGCTAATTGAACGCCCACGACGGGGCGCTGAAGGCTAGTCAACCCTATCGATTAGCTACTTATTCTTGGGCTTTTGGGGAAATTCGAGGGTTACCTTCGAATTTCCCCAGAATCTCCGGATCGATTTCCCAAGAATCTCCTGTGCAATTTGAAAGAGATTCCCAAGCATATTTGCAAAACAAATTCGAAAGGGCCCCGGTCCATTTACGCGAGCGCCCCGTCATGAACACCCCCCCTCCTGTGATCGATCTCCTCCAAGATGGCCCCAAGAAGCGCCCAGGAGGCCCCAAGAGTTTCCAAGGTGGCCCCAAGATGGCCCCAAGAGGCCCCCAAGAGGCCCCCAAGAGACCCCCAAGAGGCCCCAAGAGACCCCCCAGAGGCACCCAAGATGCTCCAAGAGGCCTCGGCGAGAATGCCCAAACGGCCTCGGCGAGGAAGCCCAAATCATTGGTTTTACTAGGGTTTTGGAACTCCTGGGGGGGGCGCTAAGTAATGCCCCCTTCTTGTTTGATCGATCTCCTCCAAGATGGCCCCAAGAAGCGCCCAGGAGGCCCACGCACACTGGTTGAAAAGCAGCAGGATGCCTCACTCCTGGCTGCTTGGAAAAAGAGAAAACAAGTCAGGCGCGTCGCCGCCTTGAGCGGCGGCGCCGGCGAAAGAAAAGCAGCGCGCGACCAGGAGGCCGCCGGTCAGCGAATGGGGGCGCGGGGGCACTCCACGCCGGCAGAATCGGTGCAGGTGCGACCACACGGACCACCAAGACCACCACCAACCAGGGACCCAATGGGGGGCGGGGGGGCGGAGGGGGCAGGGTCGTCGCGTGCTCGCCGGCGTCTGGTCCGCCGCGTACACCCCGAAGCCGCCTCGTCGCAGGGCCGCCGTCTCCCCGTCAAGGTCTGGGCCGCCGCGGACTGGCGAGTCGGGCCGCCGATGGCCGGGCGAGTGTGGCGTCGCCGCAGGTTCCGCCGCCGTCGGGGGGTCGTCGGGGAGGGGGCCGCCGCGGGGCGGGGGGGCGTCGTCGTCGAAAGCGTCGGCGTCGTCGTCGGAGCCAGGCTGTTGGCCGCCGTCGTTGCCTGGAGCCCTCGGGTTGTTGCCGCCGGGGCCGCCGTCGGGGTCGCCGCCAGGGCCGCCGCCTCCGGGGCCGCCTCCGGGCCTTCTGGAGACCTCCCACGCCGCCACCACTGCCGCCGCCACAGCCGGCGTGTCCGTGGAGCCCGCGCAGTAAGCCTGGGTGGGAGGGGGAGGAGTGGCCCGCAGGACCTCGAGGCCGAGGCGGCAAGCCGCAATCTGCAGCCGTGCCCGGCGCCCAACCGAGGGCCCAGCCCGCACCGTGATCCACCCGGATTTGGCCGTAATCCTGGGCTGGGCCCCCCACCAGTCCGCAGGGACGCCGACCTCGGCGCCGAGGCGTGCGCGGGCCTCAGCGAAGCGAGGGCATGCTGCCCATAGGTGCCGAGCTGAGCAGAGCAGCTCTGGGCACCACGGGCATGCCTTAGCGTACTTGCCGCGGCCGTGGCGGGTGGGGGTCCGGGCAGCCCCGCCCCGCCACACGCTGAGCAAAGACCGAGACTGAGGGCAGAGGCTCTGGCGCCAGTCCCGCCACGCATGGGCGCTCGAGGCCTCGATGTCGATGATATCGATCCCCTCCTCGTCGTGCCGCGGCTGGACGCCTTGGCGGGGCTGCAGGCCGGATCGGCGGCATCGGCCGGAGGCCATTACAATATTGCATCGCCTTGTGAGAGACGGCACAAGCATCGATGGGTGATGGAATGCGCGACGCGGAAGACGGCGCAACCTTCGACGGTGATGGAGTTATGTGTGTCCTTCGCCTTTAAGTTGCTTCGCCGCTTGGGCGACGGCGCTATCGTCGACGGCGGACGGGGATTCTGCGTTCTCGCTTGCTGTGCCAATTGGAAGACGGCACGCTCCTGATAATGCGACGGATCTGAACTCGTTGAATGTTCTGCTTCTGGCCGCACAGAGGAACATGATCGGTGCGCTGAGTGGTATACTGTCTCGCTTCGTCTAAAATATGGTGAACGTGTTCTAGACACCTGCCGACCGAGCGAAACGTCGACGTCGTGTTGGCGATTCTCTGTAATGATATGACATCGTCATGGCGTCCACTCCACTCCACTACACTCCCACCGCCTCGTTATGCTGTCTCGACCCCGTTTCCTCCTCCTCCTCCTCCTCCACCTCCTCCTCCTCCTCCTCCTCCTCCTCCTCCACTACCTCCTCCTCCTCCTCCTCCTCCTCCTCCTCCTCCTCCTCCTCCTCCTCCTCCCCCTCCCCCTCCCCCTCCCCCTCCCCCTCATCATCATCATCATCATCATCATCATCATCATCATCATCATCATCATCATCATCATCATCATCATCATCATCATCATCATCATCATCATCATCATCATCATCATCATCATCATCATCATCATCATCATCATCATCATCATCATCATCATCATCATCATCATCATCATCATCATCATCATCATCATCATCATCATCATCATCTCACATCATCATCATCATCGTCGTCGTCGTCCTCCTCCTCATCATCATCACAACCATCACAAGCACCAGCAGCAGCAGCAGCCCATCTCCCTCCTCGTCCTCCTCCTCCTCCATCTCCTCCTCCTCCTCCTCCTCTTCCTCCTCCTCCTCCTCCTCCTCCTCCTCCTGCTCCTGATCCTGCTCCTACTCCTCCTTCTCCTCCTCCTCCGCCTCAGCCTCCTCCTCCTTCTTCTCCTCCTCCTCCGCCTCCGCCTCCGCCTCCTCCTCCCCCTCCTCCTCGTCCTCCTCCTCTTTCTCTTCCTCCTCCTCCTCTCCCCTCCTCCTCCTCCTCCTCCTCCTCCTCCTCCCTCCGCCACCATCCCAGTACTCCCTCTCCATCGTCCAATGACCTCGTCCCCCGCCCCGCCCCCCCCTTCTCCCGCCCGTCTCCCCTCCATTCATGTTCCTTATAGATAATTCCTCCCTGTCGCACCCCGAAGCCAGTCGAAACGGCAGTACGGGCATTTCGCCTCAGACTTCCTCACAATGTCTGATCATGAAGCTGACGATTTGCAAACGTTTCGCTGGTGGAGGGCGGGGCGCTTTCAAAATGTGGCTGTCGCGCTAGCGCCGCGCACGTTCGTACCAAAAGTTCGCAAGAGCTTCGCTGATGGAGGGCGGGTAGCTTTCAAAATGCGATTAATGCCTAAGCGCCGCGCACATTCGTCTTAAACGATTGCCAGAGTTTCACGGATGGAGGGCGGTTCGTTTTCAAACTGTGGCTCTCGCCTTAGCGTCGCGCACATTCGTCTAAAACATGTGCAACGAGTTTCACGGATGGAGGACGGTTCCGTTTCAAAATGTGGCCCTCGCCATGGCGCCACGCACATTCGTTTTAAAGGTTCAAACAAGTTCAAAGACTCTCATAGTTAACGTCCCAGCAGAAGTGTTTTGGCACGATGTCGGACTGTCAGGGCGCAACAGTTACGATGACTCGCGGTGTTAAAATCCCAGGAATGGTGTTCTGTCACAATTCAGGATCGTCAAGGCGCAACAGTAACTGTGATTCGCGGCGTTGAAGTCCCAGGAAGCGTGTCCTGGCACAGTTCAAGATTTTCAAACGGTGCTATGAAGAGGGGACTTGGAGGGAGGGCTCTTGCAATATCGTTGATGAGGCTTGGTGGTCCTCCTCCTCCTCCTCCTCCTCCTCCTCCTCCCGTCCCCGTCTTCCTCGTCCTCATCATCCTCATCATCCCCCCCCCCCGCGCGTCCTTCGTCTGGCGCAGCAGGCCCACGATGAACACGAAGACGCACACGCCGATCGCCATGCCGCCGATCTTCACTCCGAGGCGCTGCAGACTCTCCTAAGCGCACACGCGTCATCATAAGAATGACTGCAGTCAAAACAGAAACAACCATAACCAAAGTCTTGGACCCGGCGCGACCCCGATGAAGGGAAAGCTTCCTGTTGCATGGGCGCAGTGCTTGTCATTGCTTGGCATTGATTCGCATTGCTTGGCATTGCTTGGCATTGCTTGGCATTGATTCGCATTGCTTGGCATTGCTTGGCATTGCTTGGCATTGCTTCGCATTGCTTGGCATTGCTTGGGGAACCCGGGGGACCCGAGGAACCTGAGGAACCGGGGGAACCCGAAGAATCCGGGGAACCCGAGGAACCCGAGGAACCCGGGGAACCCGAGGAACGGGCAACGTAAGAATCGGCGACACCGAGGATCACTATCACCATCATCACCGCCACTCATCATCATCATCATCATCATCATCATCATCATCATCATCATCATCATCATCATCATCATCATCATCATCATCATCATCATCATCATCATCACATCATCATCATCAGCAGCAGCAGCAACAGCAGCAGCAGCAGCATCAGCATCAGCATCAGCATCATCATCATCATCATCATCATCATCATCATCATCATCATCGCTCATCATCATCATCATCATCATCATCATCATCATCATCATCATCATCATCATCATCGTCATCGTCATCGTCAACGTCATCATCATCATCATCTTCATCATAATCAGCAGCAGCAGCATCATCATCATCAACATCATCAGCATCATCATCACCATCACCGTCACCATCACCATCACCATCACCGTCATCATCATCATCAACATCATCATCACCATCATCATCATCATCATCATCATCATCATCATCATCATCATCATCGGCATCATCATCATCATCATCGGCATCGGCATCGGAATAATCATCATCATCATCATCATCATCATCATCATCATCATCATCATCAGCAACAGCATCATCATCATCAAGCCCGTTCTCCTAATCTCCTCTTCCCTTCTCGTGGCACCGCCCAGGTTCGTCAGGGAGCCACCGCTGGACTCCTCCTCCTCCTCCTCCTCCTTGTCCTCCTCCTGCTCCTCCTTATCGTCCTCCTCCTCCTCCTCCTCCTCCTCCTCCTTGTCCTGCTCCTCCTCCTCCTGCTCCTCCTCCTCCTCCTCCTACTGCTCCTTCTCCTCCTCCTCCTTGCCCTGCTCCTCCTCCTCCTCCTCCGCTTCCTCCTCCTCCATTCCTTTTCCGTACAGAGAACTTCTCCCTGTCGCACCCCGAGGCCAGTTTTTAGGGCGGGCCGGGCGTTTCGCCTGAGACTTCCTCACCATGTATGACTCTGAAGCTTCAGAAATTTACAACAGTTTCACAGATCGAAGGCGGGTGGTTTGCAACATGTGGCTCTCGCCTTAGCGCGGCGCGCATTCGTTTTAGAAATTTGTGAGGGTTTCACGGATTGAGGGCGGGTGGTTTTCAAACTGTGGCTCTCGCCTTAGCGCGGGGCACATTCGTTTTAGAAATTTGCGAGGGTTTCACGGATTGAGGGCGGGTGGTTTTCAAAATGTGGCTCTCGCCTTAGCGCGGCGCACATTCGTTTTTAACATTTGCAAAAGTAGCACGGGTTCCCATCATCATCATCGTACCAGAAATTCTGTTTTGGAAGGATTCAAGATTATGCGGGTGCAACAGTTACGTTGATTCTCTGTTTTGAATGGCGTTCTGGCACGATTCAGGATCGTCAAGACGCAACAGTCAGGTTGATCAGTGGCGTTGGAATCCCGAGAACAATGTTTTGCATGTTTCAGGTCTTCAAACGGGCATCTTCCAACGAGGCAGTTCCATCAATGGAAATGAACCGCTGTATGGGGCATATGAAGAGGGAGCTTGGAGAGAGGGTTTACTGCAACATCGTTGATGACTCTTGGGTTGACTCTGGTCCTCCTCCTCCTCCTCCTCCTCCTCCTTGTCATCCTCCTCTTCTTCTTCTTCTTCCTCCTCCTCCTCCTCCTCCTCCTCCTCCCGCGAAATCGGGTCTCATCGGATCGCCAGCGAATCGTCCCGAATCGGATCGCAGCGCCCAGCTCCAGCTGGCCCCAGCCGCTGCCAGTGAGTAGAACCGAATGGACTCGGATCGGAATCGCGGCCATAGCCGGCGAATCGAAGCGCGCATTGAATCCGATCGTAGGCGGCCCTGGAAGGACCCAGGCGCGCCAGAGTCCTCTGTTCTGAAGGTTTTTTCCTTTCCAGAGCGGAGGTTCTGCCTCCTGGACGAAGGTCTTCGATCTTCTGGGCTGTAGCAAAGCATTCCACGATTAGGTGAAGTCTGGTGCGCAAATGTCCGACTCCTTCTTCCTCCATGGGAGACGATGAGGACAACGAGGACGAGAACGACGACGACGATATGACGCGCCAGAGTCCGCTCCATGAAGGAGTCGGAGGAAGCCAGGAGATCGAAAACCTCCCATCCTGGAGGTTCTACCTCAATTCTGGAGGCTGTTTTCCTGCGTTCTGTAAGCCTTTTCTCATCCTCATCCTCCGTTTGCAGGTAGCTTCTGATGTTGTCTGGGCATCCTCGTCGCCAGGGCTGGATCTGCCTCGAAATTCTAACCAGAACGCACCACAGGACAGCTCTGGGGCCGATCTGTAACCCTCAGACCGCTCGAGGATCGAGGCTTGAGGATCAAGGATCGAGGCTCGAGGATCGAGGCTCAAGCATCGAGGCTCGAAGACCGAGGCTCGAGGATCGCAACCCAGAAGAACTCTTGAGGATCGAGGTTCGAGGACTTCCAGGGGGCCCCCGGGAGGGCTTCCACGAAGCCCCCTTGGCCTCTCAAAAAGCCCCCCCCCCCCCGCTCGTACGCGCCACTGACCGCAGTGCGCGGGCCCGCTCTGGGAGGGCACCCCGGCCACCTGTCTTCGAGGATCGAGAATCGATGTCCTCGACGAAGACGCCGATCCTCGAATCGTACGAAGACGTCCGAATGGCCGCAGACCCAGAGCAGCCAAGATTAAGCTGCCACGGTGCCTCCGCTCACCTGGCGCAAGCCGCGATCAGAGAAGCGCAGTGATCTTCGTGCCCCCCGCGGGTGACCCAGAGCACCCTTGCAGGGCAGCGCCTGCTCGCAGGCAGGGGCGCGAGCTGAGCCGGGGCGCGCCAAGACTCCTCCTGGCGACTCGGAAACACCTCGCGAGGAGCGTCCAGAGACCGCTTCCGGGACCCGCGGCCGCCAAAGAACGACTCAGGCTGAGGGGCCGAGAGGTCCAGGTCCAGCGACCTGAACAAACACCGAGTCATCGGAGGTACGAGTGCCACGCAAAAAGAACCGCACAGAAGCAGCAATGACTCAAGTGACGGCGGCGGCAACCGTGACAGCAGCAGCAGCAACGGCGGGGTCCAAGTGGGGTTAGCAAGCAGTAGACAGTGCGGCGCCAAACAGTAACAAGAAGTGGTAAGCAGCGATGGCTGAGACGACAGAGGCAACGATGAGGAGGTCTGAACCTGCAGCCGAGAAGCCGCGCGAGTCGGACATCGCCGACCCAGGCCCAGGTTCAGCAGTGACATCGGACCAGCCGTCGAAGATCAGGTACACTGGCGATGATTAGAAGGAGGGAACACAGCATAAACAGTTCCTTTCGCAGGTCCGCGCGGGTTTCTCTGATCGGCGCTGAGCCTCACTCCCTAGCGCGCGGAGCGCGCCGGGGACGGCGCCAGCGTCGATCCAAGAGCGCGGAGCTCCGAAAGTGTACGTCCATGCTGTTTGGTCTTCCTCGACGGATGCATCGGTGCACCTCGCGAACTGTCACGCTGGGCGGCCGAGCATCACCGCGCGCGCTGCCAGCACGCAGCCGCGCCTGCCGCTCCGAAAACCGGGCCCGCGCGGGCGAGAGACGGCCGAGGGGCCATGAAAATCTGGACCTGCGGGGCGGCCCTGCGCGGCGCACCCCCGCGGTAGGCCCCTGGCCACGGGAGACCTCCGCGGAAGGCCCAGGCCCCGAGATCACTGGAGCGACGAACAGGAGCGGGTCTCACGCGAGATGGCACAGCGAACTTACGCCGCGGCTCACGCGGGCCGCCAGCGCGAGGGCGCGTGGGCTTGCGCGGGACGCTTGCGCGCGAATGCCCGCGCCGTTGGCTGCGGTCTCTCCCGTCGCTGACCTGACATCCAGAAGAGGCTCGACAGATCCCCAACCTGAGGGCCCATGCCTCTCCGATCGCAGACTCCTGCGCGTCCAAGAAGCCACGGGCCCCCTGGCAACGAGAACAATCAGTTTACAATAATGCGCCATGCTTCAGCATGCCACATGCATCCATCATGATGCCACCTCCTCTTGGAGGAACTACATGGACATGGGGGCCAAGGAGGTCAAGCCAACACCTCTCCCGAGGCACATTCCCATTCCCAGCTAGCACGACATAGTAAAAAACAGTGCGACTATGGGGAGCAGTGAGGACTTAGAACACGAAGGATTCGAGCCCCAGGAGAAGGGTAATCTGCAGGAACATACGTGAACCACCAAGGATTCGAGGATCCGAGCCCCAGTCGAAGGATACATCTACATAGTTTTGGACATATACATGGAAACACACGTACATCGCCAGATTCGAGCCCATGTCGAGGAGCAAGCTATCAGAATATACGTAAAACACAATGGATTCGGCTCCTACGACCCTCGTCAAAATTAACCCCAAAAATGGCGAACACGCCCCTGCGATGTCAGCGCGCCCTTCAGTGTCGATACGACGCCCCTGCAATGTCAGGGCGAGGGCAAGGTGGTCTGACCGGGAACGACTCAGAAGTTCGATGATGACCGACATTGGAGGGGCGGCGCATACAAGTACCTCGCAGTCATCGCTACTCTGTCCAATATCTCCCCACAAACAGTTCAGCCACGTAAGACATGTTTGAGGTTAATTTTGACGATGGTTGCAGGAGAGGGCCAATGAATATGCGGGCGAAGCCTACGAGGGCGAAGCCTACGGGGGGCCGAAACGCACTCCCCGAACACATATCCCAATAATTACAAAGAAATGCCTCCTGGGGCCTGTTGGGGCCTCCTGGGGCATCCTGGGGGCGGAGCGCTCCCCGAACCTATAATTATCCCAACGCAGAAGGCCGTATCCTGGGACCTCCTGGGGTTTCCTGGGGGCGGGAGGGCCAAAAAAACACTCCCCGAACACAGATCCTAATACAGAAGTGCCTGGTGGGGCCTCCTGGGAGCGGAGGGGCTGAATAGCGCTGCCCGAACACGGCAGAAACGAAAAACGGCCCCCGAACAGATTTCCCAAGGGCGTCCTGGGGCCTCCGCAGGTGGTGGCAAAACTGCTCCGACGGATCCCCCTGCGCTGCTGAATTGCAAGGGAATCTCAAGCAGCACGGCCGTTCCGTCATCCGCGAGCATTAGCAAAAATACTCTGAAGGGCCCCCCCTACGGTGCCGAATTGCAAAGACAAATCTCGAGCGCAAAGGCCGTGCCGGCATCCGCGAGTAGCAGCAATCTGGTTCTGAAGGAACCCCTTGTAGTCCTAAATTGCGAAGACGTCTCCAACGAAACGGCCGTTCCGACATCCGCAAGTAGCGGCAAGACTGCTCTGAAGGACCCCAAGGTGGTGCTAAATTGCGAGGAAGTCTCAGGCGAGAGCGCCCTTCCTAAGGCTCGGGCCCTCTCTGGCCAGGGCCTCTTTGAGTAAATTGTGAAGAAATAACTATCGCACGGGAGCGTTGCTGTTGTTAGGGGGCCAATTTGGGCGGTCCCCAGGAACGCTCGAGCGTGAGCCTCAATTGTAAAGGAGATGCAGCCGGCGCCGAGGCGAGAGCGCCAGAGCGCCTGTAGGAGGTCCAACAGGAATAATTGCTGCATAACGAACATTCAGCAAATTTCAACAGCAACAAAAAGATTCCTGGTACGCGTCCCGACCGTGCTGCGCGCCACGAGGCGGCATGCGGAGAACGCCCTGGCCGTCGGTGACCAACGGTCGGGCGATCGGCGGACCTCCGGGAGCTCATGCCGGCTCAGGCCTGTGCCACCGCGGGAGCCCCGCCGGCCAGGCAGGGCGCCCGCGGCCAGGCGGCAAGTGCTGTGGCGGCGCCCCTGCCCTGCCGCCCCCCCCGACGCCCTCGCCCCGGCCACGCCTCGAGCCCACTGGCCGCTCGGCCGGCGCCTCCCCGGGAAGTGCCGCGGCCGCGAGGCCACCTGCTGCGAGGACGGCGCCTCGGCGCCTCCGCCTTCGCCAGCCGCCGGGCGGCGCCTCGCCTCCCCGCGCGGCGCTGGTGGCCCGGCGCGGCGAGCCCGCCGCCGAGAGGGCCTAGGCGGCGGCCAGCAGAAGGTCGGCCGCGGCCTCAGCGTCGCCCCCGCACGCCGCGAGCGCCCACGCCGCCATGGCCTCGGGGACCCCGAGCGCCGCGCCCAGCTCGGGGGCCCGCCCGTCCCAGGCGGCCGGCCCGCCCGCTGGGCCCTCGGCGCGCCCCGGCGCGGGGCCGCGCGGGCCGCGGCCGGCGAGGTGCAGCGCCGCGGCTTCCGCCCGGGCGTCGCCAGAGGGATCCCCCCCCCTTGGGGCCCCGAGGCGGCTTCCTCGCCCAGCGGGCCGAGGCCCGCCTGGAGCCGCCGAGGCCTCGCGAGAGAGAGAGGTCGTTTCTCTCTCGCAGGGCTCGGGCAGCGGGCAGAGGAGCCAGCCCGGTGAGATGCACCCCGAGGAGCGGGGCCCTCTGGTAGGCGCACGCCTCCAGAGGAACTCGAGCAGGGCGGGGCGGTCCAGCAAACGCCCAAGACTGCAGTGTCAGCGCCAGTCACAGGGGGCCGGGGTCTCTCACTCCGACGGCGGATCCAACTGTATTTTCGGGACTCTCAAGGCGCTGTTTCTCTGTCGCAAAACCTTGACATTGACATACTCACGGTGTCGGCAGTCCTGGGTCGCCCAACTCCGCGCCGCGCCCCCGCGGCGAGCGGCGATATCGGCTCTCCTCGCGCCTCTCACGCCGCCGCGCCTGGAGGTGGCCAGCTCTTCAACCCCCGGGCCACGACGCTCCGGGCGCGGCCATCTTCGCGCCCCTGTCGGCGGGCGTCGAAGCACACATACACACCGGTCCTGACCAGACCGATCCTGGGCCCAGAGTCGGTGCGTGCCTGCCTGATCCAGCCAGGAGGGTGTCTATACGGATCCTGGGCCCAGGACGGGCCTGGCCAGGATCGGTGCAGGTGCACAGGTGGGTGCCATCCGACCCCGGAGGAGACCTCCGCGGCCTCTGGACGCCCCCAGGCGGGGCCCACCTGCAGTGGCACAAACAGAACAAATGTCAAGGCCAGGGCCACCTCGGGTCAAGGGCCACCTCTGCCGACGCCCGATCTATCTGCGGGTCCGGCTGGAACATGAAGACCAGGCTCAGGCGCCCTCCCTGCGAGGGAGGGCCGGGGGGCACGCCGTGCTTCTGCGTGCCGAAGAGTATTGCGTCTCCGTCCTCCATGAGGACACGGGCATAGTCCGCCAGCGCCCCACCAGGGGGACCTCCGGGCTGCGAGCCGTCACGTGGCGTTCTTGTGAGCTTCGCTGGAAGAGTGCTTCCGGGGGGCCAGTGACTCTCTCCCGCCCCCCCCTCTGTAAGTCTGCACCCCTCTGGCAGCCAAAGAAGCCCGAGGCGAAGCCCGAGCCACAGCCCGAGCCGCAGCCCAAGCCACAGCGCGAGCCGCAGTCCGAGCCGCCGTCCAAGCCGCGCATCAGAGGAGGACGCGGACTCTGAGATGCCGCCAAGGCAGACCGAGGGCAGCCTGAGAAGCCCCATGAGGCGCCGCAGAGGCCCGTCTGAGTACCCAAGAGGGCCCTAAGAGGCCGCTGATGTTCACTACCTGGAAGGCCCAAAGAGGCCGTCAGGAGCTGAAGTGATGCCCCGACGGAGGCCCCAAGAGTACCCAAGTGAGGCCCAGACTGCAGAGAACAATGCATCGATCCTATCAGCCCTCTGGGCAGAGGTGGTATAGCGAGTTTGCTTCTTCCCTTTTCACGACACCCCTCGTTCCATTATTCGGGAAGGGGTTCACCCCTCCCCCTACTCCGCACCCTGGGTCTGGACAGGCGGGGCACGGAGGGTTTAGAGCGCCCAGGACGGCGCACGATGGCCACCAAGAGGGTCACAGATAGCCCAAAATGGTTTCCACGATGGCTCAAGATAGCCCGTCATGGCTCAAGGCTGTGACCAACATGCCTCCAAGAGGTCCCAAGACCGCCCAAAGACGGCTCGCAGTGGCCACGGAGCCTCCCGCGGGCGCCCCCGAGAGGCCAACATTATTCCAACACCTGAGGAAAAACAATCTTGGTTGCCTCCTCGTCCGTTCGCTTCCGATAAGCTGATAAGTTGCTGATGTTGCAGAATGGCCCCAAGACAGCTCAGGAGATTCACCTGAAGGGCCCAAGAGGCCCCCCAGACGGCCCCAAAAGAAAGATCTGACAAGATTTACGAGTAATGTAGCGCAGCAAGCAGCGATTGTGAGAACCGTATCACACGCAGCATATTTGACCTATTGACATTTGGGTTCAGTCAAGGGCCCGTGGCTTGATCGGAAAGGAATTTGCAGCATCCATCACTCGCAACCCAGTATTTGCCAGAGTTGGCTACCCATCGCCAAGAGCGATGCTTCTGCCTTCGAGCAGGGGGGGCTGAATTTCAGCATTTACCCTTGTTGAGCAATGAGGCATCAGATCACCACAAGGGGGCGCCAAGACTCCTCAGAAGAGCAACAAGAGGACTCCAAGAGGAACCCAAGAAGGCCTCAAAAACTTCGAACATGGCGTCGAGGTGGCTCCGTGAGGCTTCCAAGAAGCCTCCAAGAGGCTTGCGGAGAGGAAGATCCGCACAGGCATTTATGGCTGACTCATCGTCGTCGGCGTCGTCGTCGTCAATGTCGCGGCACGGGAACATCTGCTGAATCATCGAACATCTGTCCCCGCCCCTTCAAGCCTGCCCGCCACGGTCATGCGCCCCGCCCCTGGCTCCTCCCGAGAAGCAAGAGCGCGCGATGCTCCCAGACGGCTCAACATGGCCGCCGCGGAAAGGGAACAATCGTACAATAATTCAACATATGTTCCAGCCCCCCGTCTCCGCCCCCACCGCGCCTCCAAGACGTCTACGCTAACCTCCAAAGAAACAAGGATGGCACGCACCAGGCCCCAAGACGGTCTAATATGGCCAACGCGGCGGCGGAACCATGATCCAATTATTCGGCATATCTTCCCGCCCCTTTCTCACTCGCGCCACGCCTCCGATCGGTCTGAAGCAACCCCTCGGAAGCGATGGTGGCAGAAGCGAAACGTCATCGCGGCCCTTTTTAGCCGCCGCGGCATGGGAACGTTTGTTACGTGATTTTCCCACTCCTGGCTGCGTCCCCGCCACACTGATCATGGCAATACGCTTAGGCATAATTTCTGCATTGATTCGGTGTTCCACCGATCCTTGTGGGCGGCCGTTCCACTGCATGCTCCCACCCTTCCCTGATCAAAGCAATTCGCCTGGCGACGTTTCTGGATAGGATGGTGAGGATACTTTTTTTGGTCGCGGGCGGACGCGGAATCGCAGTCGCCGAGCTGAAAGGTCTGGGCCACGGGCCTATCAAATTAGCAACGCTCGAGCCTAAGAGCACAGCAGCCGAGCCCGGAATCAGAACCTACCGTCAGTGGGGCCGCAGGCTGAGGCTGAGCTGAAAAATGGGATGGTGAGGATACGCGAAGCATCGATAACTCTCCAATCAGTGCTTGCACTGAAGGGGCCCTAGCGGAGATTGAAAGATTTGGCGAAAATTCCCGGCCGATTTCGGTGGGCGGCCAGGTTCCAGAGTTCCCGGTTCCGGGTTCCTCGGTTCCCGGTTGCCGGTTCCTGGTGGATTTCGGAGGGCGGCAGGGTTCCCGTGGTTCCAATGTTTGGTTCCCAGGTTCCCGGTCGATCTCACTATCCATCTCACTATCCATCTCACCATCCATCTCACTCAATCGACATCACCATCGATCTGACTACCGATCTCACTCTCGATCTCACTGTCGATCACGCTATTAATACCACTATCGATCTCACCATAGATCTCACTATCGATCCCACGAACGATCTCACGATCGATCTCACGATCGCTATCACTATCGATCTCACTACCGGCGTCATCATCGATGTCACTATCGATCTCACTATCGATGTCACACAATCGGTCTCACCATCTATATCACTATCCATGTCCATCTATCTCACTGTCGATCTCACTATCGATCTCGTGATCAATCTCACTCAATCAATCCCATTATCGATCTCAATATCGAACACACGATCGATCCCACGATCAATTTCACTATCGATCTCACCCATCGATATCAATATCGATCTCACCCAATCGATATCACTATCGATCTGACAATCGATCTCACTATATCTCACTATCGATCTTGCTATCGATCTCACGATCGATCTCACTATCGATCTCACTCAATCGACATCACGACCAATCTCGTTATCGATGTCACTATCGATCTCACGATCGATCTCACTTTTGATCTCACTCAGCGGACCTCACTGTCGATCGCACTGTCGGCCTCACTTTCGTTACCCAACATAGCATAGCATGTAGCATAGCACTGGACACCCCCGCGCCACGGGACACCACGGGACACCACGGTACACCACGAGACACCACGGAACACCAACGGGACACCATCGGGACACCAGCGGGACACCAACGGGACACCATCAGGACACCACAGGGCCACTGTTAGCCAACCCGGGGGACAGCAACGTTTGGTTCGGCTTCGCCCTGGCAACGGCAGGTTCATTCCTCTCGCCCGCCCACGCAGCTTCGCTTCGGGCGCACGCGCGACACCAACGCGAATCCGAAATCGATATCCAAGTGTGGGGGGTCTCCGTTTCACTGCGATCTCGCCCCCCAGCCTCTGATAGATTGAGAGAGGGGCAACTATGATAAAGAAAGAATGAGAGCGGCGGAGTAGAGAGAGAGGCATAAAGAGAAAGTGCATCTATGTTTATACACGCATCCCAATACGACCACCCTTCGGGTGATAAGGAGGTTCGGGGGGGAGGACCCAACGTCTCACTCGATCGGTCTCACTATCGATCTCACTATCGATCTCACTATCGATCTCGCTCGATCGATCTCACTCGATCGATCTCACAATCGATCTCACTCGATCTATTTCATTCGATCGATCTCACAATCGATCTGACTATCGATCTCACAATCGATCTCACTATCGATCTCACTATCGATAGCACAATCGATCTCACATTCGGTCTCACTATCGATCTCACTATCGATAGCACAATCGATCTCACAATCAACGTCGTCATCATCATCATCACCATCACCATCAACAGCATCGTCATCAACGTCATCAACATCATCATCGGGACACCATACCGCCCTCGAGCCCGTCAAGAAAGCCCAAGAAAACCCCGC